AGACGTGTCTGTGCCCAGCAGTTTACAATTAATGCTCATGATTATAGAGAAAAGTGGTCTGGTCTCTGTCGCTCTGTTTTTTCATCATATAACCTAGTACAGTAGTTGTTCTGAGATGCTGTTGAGGCACACGCAATTGAGAAACATTGTTTTGGTTTCGCGATTTTTCATCTTTTGACGGTCAGGCTGTCCAGACCTGGGTAATATACTAAAGTGCATCTACCTGCTTTGGTTTAATCATAGATAAAACTTCGACAGCTGAATGATGGAACATAATTGTCTATTTAATTTATTAGACTGGAATACAGTCAACATTGCACTCTAAGATGTAAAGTCACTGTTTGCTGTCATTGGATTCAAAGTAGGGCAGCATGATTACCACAATTAGTTTCATCAAGACTGTAATCATGATAATTAATCGAGTCTATGAATTATGGTAGGTAAAACATACTTTATTGCACGTTTTATTTCTAAAAAACTGTATTCGAACAAGGCTTTAAGTTTAAGATTAAACTTAAAATATAAATAAATAATGAATAAGAACATTGCATTTACCCAAAACAAAAGACTAATAAATAAATATGCCTTTAACTTTTTGTAAGAAGGAACGGGAACATTTATTGCTGAGGAAACTAGGTAGCGTTGAGGTCAGGCACGATCCTTTAAACTAATAATTGCGTGAGGTTATTGTGGCAGGTGAAGGATGACTCCAAGGCGCAGGTGCTCATCACGTGTTTATTGGTTCGTGCCAACAGGAACAGAAATGGCACATGGCGCCTCAGAGTCATCCTTCACCTGCTACATTATCGCATATTAATTTTCCAATAGTTTAAATGTTTTTTCATACACTTCTTTGACCAAACATCCGGTATTTCAGTGCGTCACTCGATACAGAGTCGCAGTTATAGTTGTCTGTGTGGGCATAGGACACGCACGGGGATTTAGTGGACCAGTGTTAGCGTTAGTTTTGGCCTCTATGCATTCATCGTATCGAGTTTGTGTTGTTTTTTTTTTCTTTGTTGAATAATTTAGTTGTGCGCCACAATTCTACGGGATTCTTTGCGTACTTTTTTTTTTGGTCAGCATCTCACCATCTGAATAATAATTTTAAAAAATCCCCAAAATACAAGTTGCTCCCTTACTTGTTGCGCCTCACCTCTAAACGATGCGATACGTCACCTTCTGCTTCCGACGTTTCGTCTCACTCTCATTCGTGCCTAAACAATTTGAGGCTGCCAGGTGCTGCCCTCTTCCTAATTAGGCAGTTTTTGTTCGCTCCCGGTGGTTGGCTGACTATTGGTCAAGAAAGTGCTTCATTTTATACGCAGCTGAGCCCCTTTTCTAAATGTTAGTATCGCGTTAGGAGAATTATGATTGAAATTCGATGCAATATACAGCCCCAAATCAAAGATTTTAAATCCAGGTGTATATAATCAAGCATACACTAAAGCAATTTAGCCTTTTTGAACAGTAGAGGTTCCATGAGATGTAATAAAAAAAATAGTCTGTGATTTTTCAAAATATTTGGATAAATCAGGAACATTTGACTAATAACACATATACACACTAATAAAGTGCACACTATTTAACTCGGAGCACTGAGGACAGAAACTCGGTTACAAGGTTAACTTGGTCTGTGGCCCGTAGTGTGTAAAAGTCTCTCCTATTTGGACCTGGGCCGTAGAGATCCAAACCTCCTCTGACATTAATGTAAGAACAAACAGTGTAAATAGGCTTTGATGGCTGAACAGCTGCATGCAAGGTTGAGAATGACGAGCACAATGCCAAGTTTGTGACTGGAGTGGTATAAAACAAAGTGCCATTAAACTTCAGAACAGTGGAGCTGTTTGGTGAACAACAGAACATTACCTGCTTGGCTGCTTTGTGCCGACTGCACTGTCTGGTTTCTGGGGTTGACCTAAACTCATTAGTTCCAGTAAAGGAGAGTCCCATTGCCTAAGCTTAACAAAGCTTTTTGGAAGTCAAGTCCATAATTTCAACCCCATTGACCACCTTGAGAACGAGCTGGAATAAAGTGAGCCTGATTGGCCTGTTCAACATCTGTTTCTGACCAGAAGAAATGACTTTCCTTATTAATCTAAAAACCCTTCCACAGCAACAACAGCAGACGTGTAGGCAGAATAGTACTATGATCCACAAGTCATCAACTGTTGTTCGATGGGAAGAACGTTTTGGTCGATTCATTTATTTTAAACTGATCAATATTTTTGGAATTTATTTTCTAGTTTCAAAATACACATTTACATTTGTTAAAATACTATAGGATGATTAGTGTATTAGTTTAATAGCTCAGAATTGTATGCAAGACAACAGGCGACGAGATGACAGAAGAACTAATAGGCAATTACTCACTTTCATTTCCATATTCATGTTTGAAATAAACATGTGATTTCAGTAAGCTTGTATGCATATTTGTCCTGCATGCTATCACTTGGCAAGGATTGTTTATACTAGCTGTGTCATAGCCCCCGCATCCACTGGCTTTTTGTTTTGATTGCTAAAGAACAGGCAGTAATTATGCATGACACTAGGAGCATTATTGCATAAAACACAACCTATACATACAACAGATCCAAGGGCCCTCAACATAGTTTAAAGGTCGGTGAAGAAATTGAAGACCTCTATTTCTATATAAAAAGACTGCTAAAGATATTTATTTTGAAAATGAGTAGTGATTTGAAGTTAAATAGCATGTTACACTCAGGTTTTTATAGAAAAACAATAGGAAGACAAAAACAGTATCCAGTATCTAACTGTTTTCTTCCAAGGAGAACAGAAACGTGAACACAGGCAGTCTGAATGTCATATTCACACAGACAAAAAAAAAAATTGTGTTAGAACTGGAGTAATGTTGATTTTGTTTATGTTGGATCATCACAAATCACTGCCGCACCACGTCACCTAGACCATCATGGGTTTAGGGGGGTAAAAAGCAAAAACAATCAATTTTTTTCCATCAGTCCAAATATCTGGAATATGACATCAAAGAGAAAAAGACAGAGGCAATGATTTGCAGGACAGAGCAGAGTGATGGAAATGGGTTTTTCAGGGCGTGCAAGGTCAGATGCAGTTGTACGGGGAAGTTTAGAGCCAGCTGTTGAGTAATGGGTCCTCAAAAATACTACACAGCCAGAACACACATAATGGAACTCACATCTGTGGACAAATGGAGTTGTCCGTTTTAAATGAAGAATCGTCCACATCAACTTTGACAACACTGGTAGAGATGTTATGTCTTTAAATGTTTGATATTGTGAGCCTGGTTTCTCAGGGTGATGAAAATCTTTCTAAAGCATCAAGATGTTTGTCTTGCAGTGCATACAGTATTGTTCCTGATGGTGGAAAAAAAAAAAAAAATCCCATTTCAAACCTGAATACTTATGAGTATATATTATTACATAATTGATTAATAATACATTACTAATTAGCTAATATTTGATCAAAGAGTGAATAATAGAAACGGTAATGCTGAGTTTTATTTTTGTGTAACCCATGGGTGAACTGTTAACGTTTGCTCATTTTACAGCAGCACCACTTTCTGCGAATAAGAAATTATGCATAAAGTGAGTCATCTGACATCAATCAGACTGCAGTGTTAAAAGCCACAGCCAGTTCAATGTCTTAGGGAAAAAGTGAGATTACTTTCCAGGAGACTCCCTTCGCTCTGTCACTGCAGCCAAGACTTGTTTAAATGGTGTGTTCATCTGCCTTCCTGGACATGGGGACAGAGGACACCGTTTTCACTTTATATTTTACTAGTGTAAACGCACTTATGGAAAAACCGACTTGCTTTACATATTTAACAGCTTCAGAGTTTTGAGTGACAGGAAGAAGGAACGCAGGGACGAGACAAGAAAGGAGAACTTGAAGGACGGAGGAAAAACAGATTGAGATTGTGCATCATAATGAAAGGGATGGAGAGCGTGAGGGAAGGGAGGACAAGTCTGATAAGCAAGCGACTCAGAAAGACATCTGTGTTTTGAATTTAGTTAAACAAATTCCTCTGAATAATAGCCACTGCTCATAAAAGTGGCGGCGTATGGAAATGACTCCAACATACCATTTACTGTCCCCACTGGAGCCGAGTTTCCATGATTGCCTCGGGTTACAGGCAATGCATGCAAATGTTATGTTAAACTTGAAAAGTTCTGCTGTCCAGGTTATGATTTCTTTCCTCCGATGTTTAATGTCTGTCTCAGTTTCTGTCTGTAGGGTTTAGCAAGGGCTAGTTTATGCATGACTTTCAGGTGGGTGTTTATTTATATTATGGTGCGAGACAGGTGAGAAGTTGGATGAAGTTAAGTACAAAGTACAGTTGGTCAGTATTGTACTGTGTATATTTATTTCATGTAATGTAGTATATTGCCTACAAATCTTTGTGAGCTAACTTAACCCAGGGGTTTCAAACTCATTTTGGTTCAGGGGCCACATTCAGGTTGATTAGACGTCAAGTGGGACCAGTACAATCATTACATACAGTAATGACCTATAAATAACAATAAGTCTACTCTGTTTTAATGCAAATAAGTTAAAGTTAATTAAAATATTCATAATTAAAATATAATGTGACAAAACATCACAAACTTGTTTGTGCATTTTCTTTCACTTTCAAAATTCATCAAGTGGACCAGATCGAACCCCGCTATGGGGCCAGTTTTGGCCCGCGGGCCATATTTTTGACACCACTGACGTAACCCCTCCTCCAACAATCATGTCGGTCCTTGGTTTTACATTCTCAGGCTGTGTGCTGTGAGGGTATTCTTTGTGAGATGCCCCTGTAGCTGTAGGCAGATCAAAAGACAACTCTCGTCTGTTGGGGTTTTTACAGCAATAATGACCTAACTCTATAAAGACCTAACTCCTTCTGATACCATTTCCACCAAGATATCACCTCAATCATAAAAGAGTAACTTCCCCTTTCCCAAATAAAATCACCACTTAAAGTCAGTGGTGAGTGTCTAAGTTTTTGATTTTAAAGGAAATCCCAGCATACACTATCTTAGTCAAAGTTGTATGGAGTTTTTAAACAGAACCAAAGATTAACCAGTTTCCATTGTCATTTTTTCTTTTTTTTTTCAGTGGTTAACAGTAAGGTGATCCTGGAGGGTCTCCAGAGGTACGGCCCCACGCCAATCTACCTACCTGTCAGCTACCGAATCCTAAACGCTGAGTCGGTGTTCTTCCTGCAGGAAGCCAACCAGGATTTAATGAGAAACTCCAGCCTGCAGGCACGGACAGAGTCCTTCTTCATCCATCAAGCCAGGCAGATGCCCTTCATCAATGCTAGCTACGGACCGCTGTCTGTGCAGCAGCCTGTGCCTCTGGAGCTCCTGCAGACCACACCGGGGCCCTTCACTGCGCCCTCGCTCACTGCTTCATCAACGCCAACAGCTGCATCAACACCACCTCTGTTTACATACAACTGGAAGGTCCACACCTACATGATCAGTGACCAGATTCACCCCAGCTGGCCCAAGGTTCAGGTGTTGTTCTATATTGCTGGCAGGAATTGGGATGATTACAGCGCCATCAACAAGCTCCCCTGCATCAGGATGTTTGCCTTCCACGAGACTCAAGAAGTACGGGGCACGTGTCAGCTAAAAGGTGAATTGGGAATATGTGTTGCAGAGCTGGAGCCTCTGGCTAGCTGGTTCAGCCCTCCTACCATCAGACCAGGAAGACAGAGGGTCAGTGAACAGGCCCAGGGCACTCCAGTGGAACTCTACTACATGGTTCAGACCACAGACGTGGGCGACTGCAGCTCAGAGGATTCAAGAAAAGGCAGCGCTCTTCACTCAGAGCAGCAGGGACCGATGGGCTACTTTGCAGGGCATACGCCGATGCAGCGGATAGGGAGTGTCCGGCTTTTACAGCCACTGACAGAGCTCAAACTGGACAATAACTTTGTGGTGATGGCTCCCTCCAAACCAATACGGCAAAGAGAAACCGTCTCAGCATTCCTGGCATTGTCCACGCTCTCCCCGGTGCAGATTTTCACCCTAAGGTGAGCAGGTTTCATATCTAACGTCTCCTTTTCAACCCCACTGTCTCTGAAACACTTGTGTAGCAGGGATTTGAGAGATGTTTGATAAATATAAACAGAAACTGCTGTTCCCTGCTTAGAAAACAGGTCTTCTACCAAGAACATTGTGGTTCAATCCGGAAGCATGCAAATATGTTCCTGGTAAGGACACTAAACTCCAAGCCTCCCAGTTCATCAATGTTGCAAAACAAACTTAAAAAAGACCGTTCTGTGAACTTGCTTGGAGTGATTGATATCTTATATCTAGCTGGCAGTTTTCGGTGTAGTTTCTTACTTATGCTCACTTCTGTTTCTCATGGCTCTGTGCACTTTAGAAAATATCAAGTTTGTCTGGTTGTAGAATTCGTCAACAACAGCAGAATGGGAAAGGCATCCAGGGCCCAGTACCAATCTGATTGGCTTCTACTTGTTGAAAAGAAAAAAACACAGAATTGTTGCTCAAGTGGGGATGATTCAAAAGGCTTGTTGATTTAATTGACGAAAACACGCACGTGAAATAACAACACTTCCAAAATATTGTGGAAGAAATGCTAAATTAATTAGTTTGTGCTTAAGCAACACCACTGCGCACCATATCCAGACAAAAAGGTTCAAAGCCAGGAGTGTCAAAGAGACATCCCCGGGCCAAAACTGGCCCACTAAACTGTTCAATCTGGCCTGCTTGATGAATTAAAAAAAAAAAAAAAAATACAAACGGTTCATATTCAGAATATTTTTGTATATTTCAATAAATAATAATAAATATATACTTACCTATTAGCATAAAAACAAAAGGGGATATACTTGTACCTATTAGCATAAAAACAAAAGGGGAAAAACACAAACTTGTTATTGACATTATGTTGTGATTGTACTGGTCCCGACCACTTGACATCTAATCAGGTTGTATGCAGTTGTATCAGTTTGACAGCCCTGGTTAAAGCCCTGATAAAAAGGGTCATGAACAAATCCATTGCCCCCTGGAGGCCGCAGCCATACATATAGTAGAGCAGTGTACCAGCCCAGGTCAAAGAAAACACCAATAAAAAGTCATGGTTCCACAGCAGCAGGTAAGAGCAAAGAAAGAATTAGAATACAATCACACAATAATAAAACAGCACTGGAGATAATACATGATTCAAAGTTCCAGTGTCATGACTGTTTGTCCTGCTCTGCAGCCGCGAGGCATCTACTCTGTTACTGTTTGTTTCAGTCATTTATCTACTGATCAGAAGAAGAATCTCACAAATGAAAGTATTATTTCCAAACAGTCTTTTCATTGGTCCCGAACAATTCCTGTTGTTTTATTGTGTGTACATATTGAACAGAAAAAATATAGTTCCCACATAGAGTTTACTGTTACAGTGGAAATTTCAACTTTTAATAACAAGATATAGTTATTGATGATGTGAGTGACAAAATGGAGGTCGCTGCACAATATTGGTTTGGAGGAAACCTGAGGTTTCTTTCTGTCAAGCTAATATTTCTGTGATTTAAAAAAGAAGGAAAGAAAAGAGACCACACAAACAAAAGAGTTCTTTGTTGGTTGTGGTTCAAGGAAAAAAAAACATCTTCCAGTGTTTTCAATACAAAGGACTTAAACTTAAAAGTAAACTGTCCAAGGCTTGAATTTTGGAGAAGTATTTTTTTAGAGCTTTTTTGTAAGTGTTTATAGCAGCTTTTCAAATAACTGCAGGGCTCTGAGGCAGATTATTAGACAGATTTTAGACACCGTCTGAATTGCACATCTAATAGTCTGTGGGAGGAATGTTTGGACTGGATTGCACCATAATTATGCCTTTCACTTATTTAAGATTCTTTTTTTTTCATGTTCTTACCTTCAAAACTGCCTTTCAGATGTGCAAAATACCTATCTGCTGTGATTGCTCAACAACAACAAAGTAGCTGTTAATACACCGAGTGCTGTCGCATACAAATTGCCATTCAAAGCGACTGTAATTGCTTCATGTCGTCTGAAGCAAATGAAGGTGTAAGGAATATGCTTTTCCACTAGGCTACCTTTATGTCTGAGATCTAAATCCCGGCAGATGAAACAGTTAGCAGACTGAGAGTGGAGCTGTGACAGACAGCCTTGGCGATTTGTCAAACCTGGGTAGGTAGGAAATCTGCCAAAAAGTGTCACTGTTTTCTCCCATGAACTCCCATGAAGTATTAGTGTCCCCAGTGTGTGTTTATCACATTTGTCAGCAAGAGTGTAAACCAAAGATTGAGAGGAGGCATTTTGTCTTCCACTGCCTTTTTCTTTGCACTTACACGTGTGAGGGGCGGACTGTATGAGTGCTAGAGTTCACAGGTGGGACTCAAACGCAGCACAGCCGGTGGGGATCAAACTGGTAAAACAATGACCTACCAAGCTAGCAAATGTACAAATGCTACAAATGCTAATCTGAAGGCAGGGGTTAGCAAATCAACCAAAGTAATAAACACATGTGACTTTGCTGATTTACTCAAACAAAGTCAACAAACAGGAAAAATAAGGTATTTTTTTAAAGCGAGTGGGGGGGGGGGGGGGAGACACAGGTCAGAAGGGCTGCACAAATGCTACAGTATGGAGGGCAAATAAGGCACGACTTGGAGAGAAACTTACAAAATGGATGAAACAGTGAACCAAATAAATCAACCTAACAACAGAGATTAACACTGAAATTAGCAAAAGCTAGCTTGAACTGAATGTAAATAATATTTATGTAAAGTCTATCAACTGTAAAGTCTGTAGTGTTAATTATAGAGATAATGAGCAAGCATATTTGATGTGTTTTTTGATTGTGTAAATGTAGCCACTGCAGTCTCTCCTCTCGCACATTTCCACCTGCTCTGCGTTTTGTAAAAGATCAGAACGCTGGAGTTTTGGTTCAGCTGAACAGGTGGCATATTTATTCTGCACAAAATGGAACGCAAGAGAACTGCAGCGTGAAAAACTCACAGAAGCCCAGCACACTTTCTTTAATGCCAGCCAAACGTTGAATAAGTAATGAAATACAAATAAAAGTGTGTCTGACATTACGTCACCTTCTCTTTGAATGCATACCATTCTGTTTTGACAAAAGCTCAAAAATGAAGATAGAAAAATCAGCGTAATACACCAATAACTGAACCATGATGTCAGGGAGAAAAACGGATGGGAACTTTTATCCTTTGTTACTTCTTTCAAACAGATGATAAATGTTGTCCCTGTATCAATGAAACAAGAGACGTCAGAACAAACTTATTTTTCTTTGGATTATCTTAAAAATTACAAAACCGCACAACACACTTCACTAGACACAATAAATACACTTAGTTGAAGTTCTACAACCAAAATTATATTTGTAATAATATTGTTTTGAATTAAACTCTACATCCACCGAGCTTCCATTAGTACCTGTGCTAATGCTAATATGTTAGCATGTTATATGCTAAGTTATACGCTAGTATAACTTTTCCTGATGTTTTGACTATTATATCTACTTCCTCTCCTGTTAATGAGCTTGTATTCACTATTATTTACTAAAACTGTGAAAAAGAAAATTCCGGCACCCGCAGAACATTCAAGGTTGGCTCGTTAATGTGCACATTCGTACACAAAGGAAAGGAAGAAAAAAAAACCCTCCATAGACGGCATATTTAAACATACACACTGGACTTTTCATGGTTGTTTTTTTTCAATTTCAAATGATCAATTAGTGGCTGTTTTTTTATTTTAACAAATAGACAAAGCTAGCACAGAGAATGTTTTGAAACTATTATATTTCTTCAAAAATCAAACATTTTACATAAAAATATGTGAAACCATGCATTCATTTCTCACTCCCAAACAATGATGTGTTGCAGGGTCCTGAGGCTGGATTGTTTCAAAACCACTGCTTTGAAGTCTTCCATTGGCCCCAAACGTGGTTTTAATTCAAATGCTGTTGTTCAGTCTGCCTCAGGCGGCTGTAATTGTTGTCATGCACTGAATATTCTCAGTTCATATGTTTGAACACCAGGGTTCTGCCCGTCAATATGTTCCCAGTATACATTTCAATGGCCTTTAATGCGTTTCTTCCACCACCTGTGATTTGTGGAGTTGACTCTGTTTAGTTGTACAGAGTCACTCACACTATGTCTTCTGACCTTTGTCCAATTCTAACCTTCCACACCTCGGACTGGTTCTGAGACAAATATATCTCGCAACTTGTGACTAATAGACGATACATGATTGTACTTGTACTCTACACTTTACTGAGGGAAAAACTTTATATCGTTATATCGCTATATTTTCAAAAATCTTTAACATCATTAATTACTCTAATGAAATGTGCAGTTTAACAAGACTGGATAGGAGAGAATTGTCTTATCAAATAAAAGTAAAAGTCGGTGATTAGAGTAAAGTTTTACACATTTTTGTTTTATTGGATTCTGGCTTCATAAATTTAAGTACTGCTCTACCTTTAAGTTAATTTTTATGAAGCTACAATATCATGAATCATACAATGGTAATATAATATTTTATTTCCAATTAAATTAAATAGTTCGAAGTAACCCTTCGGTAGCCCGGGCAGAATTTCACTGTTTTTTCATGTTCACTACACAGAAGATTGTTACTTCAAACATAATCGAAGGTGAAGGCAGCGATGTCCTGACGAGGTCTAATGATCTTCAGTTTAAAGCAGCAGTTGTGTGAGCGGTGATTTATAGTCTGCCTTCACTCTGAGTATTGTACACAGTAAGCAGGCCCTCATGCGTCTATGTCATTTGATTTATCTGAATATTTAATCCATCATTTTTCTCCAGGCAGTTGCTCTATTGATGTTTTCCTCCGTCTTCTCCTTTAGTTTTTGGTCTTGAAAAAGTTTTGAGTTGAAAAACCACATTACAGAGTAAGCCTGATCTATAAAACAAATTTAATATACTTCACCTTTATACGGTAAAACGCAATGCGTGTGAATCTAGTTTGACAAATATCACTTTATATACAGATGACACATCTCTATATTTGGCTA